GAATTTTTCGATCAAATTACCCAGAGAAGAGATGTTGTTCAATCAGTGATAATTCTTTACTTAGATTTTGGTAAGGCTTTCGGCAGTGTCCCACACAAACCTCTTATTCTAAAACTCTCTTCACTTGGGATACAGAATTCCCTTTTATCTTGATTCAAATCTTTTTTAAAAGAACGTAGACAATTCGTTCGCTTGCTACTCTCAACCTGTGAATGTAACCAGTGGGGTTATACAAAGAAGTGCGATTTGTCGATTACTCTTTCTTCTTTTTGTCAATGACGTGTGTTACCCTCTTTCACTAGGGTAAACCTTTCCTTTTTGCCGATGACCTGAAAGTAGTTTATTCATTCTCTTCTCCCACGAAAGAAAGCTATATTTCAGTGATAATCCAAGAGAAAATAAACAAGTTATACGAATGGACTGTTTCGTGGAATTTGCCACTTAGTGTTGACAAAAGTGGATTTATTCACATTGGTCGCTGCCTTAACTTAAATCTGACTGTACATACACATACACTCAAACCTTTCAACACTGTTCGTGACCTGGGTTTAGGATATAACAACAGTCTGGACTTTTCTGAGCGCACTATATCTCAAGTATCCGAAGCTAGAAAGCTCATCGGATTGGTAATGACAAACTTCAATAATATCGAATCGAGATTGTTATTATACAGAAAATGTATCTTACCCATTCTTGAATATGGTATTTTAGTTAACAGTAATTGCAGACATAATGACCTGATTAAAATTGAAGGTGTTCAAAGAAGGTTCACCAAAACTGTTCTGGGGTATTCCGATAACAAAGACTATCAACAAAGATGTCAACAACTCAACTTAGAACCTCTTTGGATCAGACGTATCAAATTAAATCTTGTCTTTATCTACCGGCTTATTAACGGTATTTCCTACTCATCGGTATCCACCCCTTCATACCTTATAATATCATCCCACAATCTACGCAATAAGGAGAACATTCTAGCGATTCCAAGAACCCACACAAACTTACGCCGGAATTCTTTCGTTATTCGCTACTCAATCATGTGGAGCAGACTGCCAGTGAACCTCCGTTGCAGTGAAACTACAACCCGGTTCAAAAGTCTCCTTGTCGATTTTCTTTCCGAAAGTGGATTATGTCACCTATTGACTATCAATGTATTCAATAATGATTTATACAAACAAGGTCCGTCATCCACCTAATTGACTGAAAGGCAAAATATAACCTTTGAAGCTTTTAACGTCTATTTTACTTTATTTTCTTTCCGTTCATCTTAATATACGAAATCTGCTTATGTTCGTAACTATAATTATTACTGTTATTAATATCATTATTGACCCCCCCAACACATTAGATATTCTTTTCATCCCTTCTTATCAGTCTAAACATATTTAAATCCAGATTGTCCTTTGAAATCAATTGTGACTTTCATAGCATCATTCTTAATTATTATTGCACAAATATTTATACTAATATCCGGTTTCACTCCGTATACTATTACATAAATCTAAATGTATTCATCCGAGTGCACCAGAAGATTTTTCTTTTCTTTTTCTCAAATACTGGTTTACTTCTGAGGTTGATATTCATTACACAATAATTATTATCATGGTTGAACCTTTTCACTAGGCGTCTACTTCTTTTCTCTCTTTTTCCCTTCTGAATGAATATTATTCTTAAGATTACGAAATTTGTAATTAGAACAATAGTTTGTGTCACATTTAAAATAACTTCTCAGACTCCTTTTATCTTCACTATGCATATATGACTCATACATATTGATATTTCGTTATCCTTTTCGTTTAATTAAGACTTTCATAGAATCACTCGAAACTATAACTGCACAAACATTTATTCTAGTGTCATATCTTACTGCGATAATAAGTTATTTTTTCTGAATTATTTTTTGTTACTAATTTGACGATACATACATAGTCGTTTATTCTTGTACTGTGTTCATAAACACGCCTATTAAACTATTTGAGCATTTCACATCTCCTTTATTTTCTTCCTTTCCTTCTTTAAACTCAATTTAATATTGTTTTTAATTACACAGGACCTGATTTATTATTATTATTATCCCATTATTATTACTCGCCTTTTTCAAATATGGGAAATATAACGCTAACATTGTTGAAAATTGTGTATTATTGCATTTTTGAAGAAACGCGAAATGCTTTTTTCACAACACTTATGTACCCATAAAATGTTTGTGAATAATAATAATAAAAATAATAATAAACTTCATCATACTCAATAAAAATCTGTTCACCACCTAGACACTGTCAATCGTGAAATACAACGGACAAATTTACTTCACATGTTTCATTTGTATCAGCACTTGAAAGTTAAGTTCGTGGGACTGCTTTCAAAAGAGATTGTAGGTGTTGAGATATTCAGGAAAATATCCCAGAAATTATCCTATTAAGACTAATGCTATTCTTGGACTTGGACATGGTATGATTTTCTTATTGGTCAGTACTTATTTCATGTGTTATTTTCCTACTGGTCAATATTGTACAATGTTATTTTCTATTTTATGGTACGTTGTGGTCTGCTTGACTGGTATATAAACAAAGTATGTTTGAAATATAATGATTCATATATCCGAGGCTGTGACTTGCGTTCTGGACTCAACTGCTGGGCTAAATAGGGAAGCGAGACCAATCAGAACCCTAGGTCGTTCTACGTGTTTGCGCGTCTTTGGTCCGATCGATAATTCGCTACCCTCTAATCTGCTGCCGTCACAGTTATAGCAGTAGGTCATCCATTTTCGATCACCTTTAAAATGGTAAAGTCTTCAGTGTACTAACTTCAGCACAAGTAAATAGTTGTGTATCATCTTACTAAAGATTAGCTCACTACGTTCTGATCAAATTAAAGGGCAATATAAATAGTTTCCTTAACTTGTCAGATTTTTCAGTGGCAAAATTAACTAATTTTGCTCATGATTTCATGGCATCTCTTGATTATGCACGCATAACTCTACAATACAGCTAACTGAGCCGTATGTCTAAACATCAGTTACATTGCAAACATTACTTAACCTCCTTTCAAAAATTACTTACGCTTATTTGAACGATTGTTAACACTACAATACATTTGTGCCAAGTGCTTTCTATCTCATTACCTGAAGTGAGACAGATTGTTTAGTAGTTGAAGCCTCATAGGTGACAACCTTAGCATCATTGATAGAAAACTATTTTTAGCATCGACTGTATAGCGACTTAAGTTATTAGAATTTGCGAAACGACTTTTGTCTCGAACATAAATCAATGTAAAAACGTACCGTGGTTCCTTCAACTGAGTCCATAAATTTCAATATTCGACTACAATGGTGTTCATTTTTTGATGTTCATAACCATCTTGGGTTTCCATTTCTGAACTTAACACCGAGTATGTGTTCATTACCAGTTTGCGCACCGGTGAACGTAAATTATGGGTCTCATTAATTTTGACATTCGTTCAACTAAATATTACATCTGGCCGATGTCGAAGATCCCTCATATACGACTCTGTGTTAGCTACCAGGAAGTCGCTCCTCAGCATGAAACCTTGTTGTGGCAATATAGATTTATTATGGTTACTGACAATAAAATCACAATCACCTTCATCTAAGATTCTATGCCATCCACAAATTCCACTATTACTCCGAGTACTGGATCAACGCTTAAGTAGTGCTTCAATTGCGAGTTGACAATAAACGTGTCTGCCAAAAGTTATGCAGTACAACCTGAACCTACTACGAGAGCTTAAAAACACTAAATTTTCACACGAAAACTAGATCTCAGTTGTTATTCATCAATAAATCATCTCAGTTATTCCAATATTCGGCACAATAACTCGCCATAAGGACATTTCACAGAATTTTGACTGTTAAAGATGATGAAATAAGGTAAATGCTTATTTCTCACGATTTTAACGGAGATCTTGATGACACCCAAAGCTCATGGAAACACCAGAGGTTTATATGAATACCTAAAAAGCCTGATTAGATCAAATGTTTCCCGATAAATTGACTTTCTTCCAAATATGTCTTCAATCTCCCACATTCTTGACATATGGTTCGAATGGGTTTGGGATCTTTCGATTACAAAGGTGCTACGGGCAATAGCGTTGCCTAACATTTGATATTTTGGACATCTTTAAGAACGCCATGCTACACATCCCTCCCAAAAATTAGTCAGTTTAGATCGTATAGTTGTTGGCTAATTGACAATCTTCCAAAAGTATCTTCGAACCCCTTCATTCCTGGTTTCTGTTTGACTGGGTTGGAGATACAAGATTACAAAGGTGTTACAAACAAAAGCGTTGTCAAAACTTGAATATTTGTGGACTGTTTAGTAGGATCAAATATTGTATTTTTGCACTCTACACAAGACACGAATCGAGTTGAACGCAATAGCAATCAACAGCTGAGGTGGGTGCAATAAAACATACTAGAGCGTTCTGAATGAATCCAAGAGTTAAAGAAGTACAATAATTTAAATTTCGCACATACGTTAGGAAATACATAAGACAATGCTACAACAGTTTATTTCAAGATGTTTCATGAGGTAAAATTCAAGCAAATATGTTCATAACAAACTATCGAATACCATTTCTTCGTCCAGACTTCCTCATAAATGACAAAAAACAAATTTTAGAAGAGCTGTATCAATGTGTCTAGTATGTTATCCTGAAACCTAAGTTTCTATTCTTAGAGAGTCGATAGGATGTTGCCAGAAAGAACCACACATGAGGTAGAGTGAATAAATGTTTGCAGGTTTCTTTTATAGTTCAGCATGTACTGAAACGAAAACAATTGTTTAGTTACTCATAACTTCGACAAAGTTTTATCAATCAGTTGCCATTCTGTATTTAATCTTTTATGGCAGGGATGAACTCACCTTAACGGATAGTTTGGCCAGTGTTCAGTTAAATCTCACTGACGCTGCATTAATTACAGAAATGCCTTCGGGAACTACTGTTCGACGAATTTGAACACTTAAATAATGGTCAATCTCACTTTAACAGAGAGCGGGGCTTACGAACGGTGGGTAAATTTTCCCGACTCGGTTTTGTATCCAAATATTTGTTAGATAATACGCTAGTAACTAATTTAGATCAACTAATCATCTTCATCCCAAGGCACATCTTTATTAACATTCGCCTTTACCTATTAGAGTATAGGCGTCTTAGAGGTGATTTATTAATGGCTTATATTATTCTTAACACTTCTGGACATCCTCTTAAACACCTACTTAAGCTTAGTTCTAATAATAACCTAAGGGGTAACACTGAGAAACTGGAAACACAACATAGCAAGACGGAATGTAGACACAACTTCTACTCCTTAAGAGTTGTCAAAAGCTGGAATTCGCTGCCGGCTGAGCTAGTCCAAGCGACATTTTAGGAGTCCTTCAAGAGGCAACTTGACCTATTCTTAAGGACCAAGGATAGTATCACACTATGATTTACCAATTTCTTTTCCTCTTTTATTGTTAACATACCCAGGTTCCTGCCTGGAGGATTTGGTGACCCCCTGCTACTAGACACGGAAGCCTTAAGCGAAAGCTTCTTCTATTCCGTCCACAACCATTTGAACCATTTAGATCAGAGTATCGTAAACCGTGTTTTTGAAGGACTGTTCAGTGTACATATAATATGTACACCGAACTTTAAGGTGCAGTATACCCTCCCTCAAAAGTCATTCTCCATCCTAAGCGACAAGTATATTTTCGAAAATTTATAACAGAGGCCTAGCACTCATAAAACAAACCTTATTACTAACACGCCTAATTTAGCCATATTCATACACTTTGTATACTATATATGTTTAGCTTGCATCAAATGTGACCGTTTGTCAGTACTTAACTTTTGTACAAAAATTCTGAAATCATTTAGTGAATATGAGTTCAAGTGAAAAGTAAATTTCCCACAAGAATCTACATATACTTTTTAACCACGAGACACTTGAATATATCTACACTTAAAAACGAACGAATTGATAAAGCAATCTGATGTATATGATGTCCAAAACTCAGGTTACCCTTTCATTTATCTGCACAATCAGGCTAAACTTACCTATTGCAGTGACAACATTATTTGGCTTTAGGAGAGTTCCGAGTTCCGTTCTGGAATGACGTATTTCGCGAAATAATAACACGTTTGCATTAACTTGAATCTCAATCTAAAGTTAACATCCTCAAGCTACCACTGAGTGGCTTTTCTGACCACAGAAAATCCACAGTACACATATGCTTAAACTTTTCGATATAGAACAATACAAAAAGTGGGAAATCATGTTAAAGTATACAGTCAACAATATGCTAAAAGGTTAAACCAAACAGGAAAACATGTAGGTGGGTATTTTGGTATTTCGGCTCAGCGAACACATAATGGTGACCATCTGCTGCAACTGTGCACGGACATTCATTAGTTTTTATCAAACTAATTTTAAACATAAGGAGACACATCGTCTAACATAGCAACTCTCTGCACCAAACCAACGATGGACTTAAATTGTTCGTATCGCCATCAGTCATCCTTGGAGAGGCCCGATAGAAGACTGCAGCTCCTTCTGGAGTGCATGCTTTGATCTTTCTCTAATACGAACACACATTTGCTTGCGCTTCACCAGACACAGAAAAGCCTCATTAAGAAAACCAAATAGAGTTTAACTCAGTGATGGGAAAGCCGAAACTAAATTCCAGGAACAACTGAGGCCATACTAAGTCAATTCTGAAACCGAGGCTGACCCATATGTTGCTTGGAAAGATATATAAACAACTGTGGAAACAGCTGCACCATCTATTAGTGACCAAGTCTGAAGCCAGCCTGATTTTCTCGTGATTGTAGTTCACGAGTCTTAGTTAGTTTGCCCCCAAATGCCCTGGTACGGCCGAGAGTCCGCTCTCCCTCTCGAAACGCTCTTACATGGCCACGCGTATATAGCCTATGCTAGGGAAGTCCTACTCACCGCCTTCTCGCACCACGGATGTTGTTTACAGAATTGAGAGGATGAATGTTCGGCGCTTTAACCGGGTTGGTGGACATGGAGAGTTCACCCAGGAGAGTTGGAAAACCGTGATTCCAAACCAATGGTGCACATGGACCCCAGTACCCTGTGGGAACAAATGGTGTATGAATCAACCGTTGGTCACCGGCTACCTCAGGACTGCATCTTCTGACGTTGCTCCACTGCCCTGTGTATCAGACCTTTGGGTCGAAGGCTCGGGGTGTGGCCCCCTAAGAAAACCACCTGCTTCGGTTTGGGCACCCGGGTAGTATCACAGCCCTCAAATCAAAAGAGATTTGTGTGGCACATATGTATCTGGTTCCCTCTTGTACCAGTATTTGTGTTCAAATAAATAAAATAGGGACCCAATAATTATTGAGGCTAGTATTTTAGGTGCTAAAATCAGGCTGGCTTCAAACTTAATCGTGGCTACATCAACCACATATTCACCATTCATCACGTTTTCAATTACAGGCATGCTTATCAGCGTCCGACAATTATAGTTTTTCTTGATCTCTCTCTGTAGACCAATAGGTTCTGTTGCAGTTTGTCATTGAAAGATGTACCTCAGAAGTACATAAACCTTGTGAAGGCTCTTTACTCGAACACTACTAGTCGAGTCAGAGCTTATGGCGAACTGTCGTCTGATTTCGCAGCCTCAAGTTGTGTCCGTCAAGGCTGTCGACTATCTCCGTTTTTGTTTAGCTTCATCATAGACCTATTGCTGGAAATAACGCTCTCGTCGACTGAATTTTCGGGCATTGATCTCCTACCAGGAGGTCCACTTATCGAATTAGAATACGCGGATGACATAGTCCTGTTTAGTGAAGACGCTGTTAAAATGCAGTCTTCTGGTAGCACTGAGCAACAGTACCAGAATGTTTGGGATGCATTTCTCCCCGTCTAAGGAGACCATTGAATTAATATATGGAGGGTTACTAGTGGGTGAATATTCTCAAACTTCCTACGGCACTTAACATCATTTCAACTGATCACTTCACCCATATGAATATTTTTATGTAAAGTGCTAGCTGTTAGAGCCTTTAGTTAGTGACTATCATTCTTTTCAAAGACTAGCCAGGACAGCATTCTAATAGTGCGTACTGTAAGCTGAAAGGGTTTTCACATCAGATCTATAATACTGTTTTTTTAATGTCATCATTCTAATTAGGTCTTTACCTCTTGCCTTTTAGTTTTAATGGATGTTGAGTCGTCAGAGTCCGAACAGTTGTTGGTCGAGGAATACAAAAATCAAGGAAACTCATGTTATAAACAAGGGATGTACAATGAAGCTATAGCATGGTATACAAAAGGCATAGAAATCGATAGTACCAATGTGTTTCTGTACAATAACCGCTCCGCAGCTTACCTGATGATTAATAAACCTCTTGACGCTTATAAAGATGCTAACAGGTTTTGTTTTCATTCATTTCAGATAAATTACTTACTTGATAGAAGTATCAGTTTAGATTCCCAGAATGTAAAATCTATACTACGTTGCTTAAAATGTTGTCTTATTTTGGGTGATTTAAATGAAGCCAAACATCTGTGTTCTATAGTTAGACAGCTGGAACCAACTAATATGGAATTTTCGTCATTGGTAGTGACTCACTGAGCGTTTACTAACGGAATTTATTTAGCTGCAAAAAATTGAATTACTATCAGAAACTCACCGATCTTACGAAGATAAATTATCCACATCTGACTTCCGACACGTATAATTTCCTCTATAATGTTAACACTTTTTTATGATAGGCTCTTCATTTAATCACAAAGTGCATTGAATTAGCTCCAGCTTCACTAAGTTTCAACTTAGAAAAGCTGAACATCCTCATTCAATTAAAACGATTCAGTGAAGCCAAGATTTTAGTTGAGTAAGTTTCTGTAATGCAATTAATATTCTGAGCACAGAAACTTATTGCATTCCCATTCTTCATCAGTTGATCTACTCTTTTATCGAGGCCTGTGCCTGTACTATTTGGATCATTTAGATAAAGCAATTGTTCATTTTCAACATGTTCTACGCCTTCATCCAGATCACATAGAAACTCAGAAAGTGTACAAGCGAGCCAAAAATCTCCTGAAATATAAAGAAGAAGGAAATACACTTATACATGATCACAAATATTCTCAAGCGTTTGAGGCCTACACAAAAGCCTTGGAAGTGGATCCTTCACACGATATGATTAACGCAAAATTGTATTGTAACCGTGCTTGTGCTCTTTTTTACGTAAGTTTTTACAGTGAATTTTTCAACTTCTACATAGCTTGATCGTTTCGATGAAGCCCTAAACGATTGTGATAATGCAATTTCCTTGGAACCAAACTATTTAAAGGCTCGAATTCGACGAGCTAGGTGGTAAGTCAGGTTTGTTTTAAATGATTTCACATTGCCGTATAATTAGTCAGTCGTTAAGCATTTGCTCATACTTTTCAACCGTTAATTCACTTAGTCAACATCTCATTAACTTTTCCAATAATCTTAAGTAAACTTGTGGGTTATATTTCTTAACAATCTCACACCCTGTCTGTCTTATGTTGTTCTTTAATCTACCTTATTAGATTAGATATAGTTCTCTACAAAGATCCTGAATCTTGTCATCTTAACCACCGTTTGCTTAGCAAACTATGTACATCTTTAGTCTAGATTAATGTGCATATTATCTTAGTGATCTGATAACTGTCTAGTTAATTAATTATTGCTCAGTGATTTTTGCGTTTATCATCCAATCATTTCATTATAGACTTCAGTCCTTCCTTCATCCAAGAATCTTTAATTAAATGTACAGTATCGTTTGCTTGCGTGGTTAGTGCACGAATCGATCATCAAATTCTAAGTTGTGTCTTTATACTTTCGTAGCATTTTACGCTTGGTGGTTGCTTCTCATTTTCCGCGTATCGATATGAACTTAATTTCTTTAAACTAAAACTTGTGTGGTTTGTGGCCAGTGCATAAGTTGACGTATAATTACTTGTTCGTCTTACTTATTATGTTCTATATTGTGATAACGTCAAAGAGTTCATTTCCACTAGTTGGAGTATCTTATTGTTGACTGGTATTGAAAACTATTAAGTACCGTAATAATGAGTTTCATCAGATCTGTGTTCTTTTTAATTTTTAGTAGTATATCTTGTTTCTCAAATGGTCAAATATAAGAAGATAGATCATTGAGTTCACTGTTTTTTATACGTAAAGGCTTATCTGTAATAATCACTATTAAATTTCTCACATCTTAGATTTTCCAATCTGTACTGCTAAACACTTTACTCTGATGTTGTCTAGCTCATTAATAATTAATAGACTCATGTTTATAGTTTCTAGTGATATTTATTAGTTAACGGTAAAAGATAATACCAAGGTTTACAAGTCTGATTAGATAGAATGTATTTAAACTCTTAATTCATAGTGGCAAATAATTTCGTGCCAAGACAAGTGAGCTATCGACCAAACACTATCGTTTAAGTCAGAGATTATCGGGAACTGTTGTCGGATATACGAACTTTAAGTGTTGTTCGTCAGAGCATTCTACTATCTTCACTTTATTTAACGTCATAAATATATTCATAGAAATCAGTCTTTTTCCTATCTAACAGTAGCAGTTTATAGTTCATTAAGTATAAATAAGATCCGATAGCATAAAATTGTAGAAAAGTCTACTTGAATTTGACATAATTTGGTACATTTTATTTAGTGATTTTATCGCCAATAATATCTGACTTCATTAACTAGAACTCTAACTTGTAATGAATTTCCATTTATTTCATGTTTGATTGTTACATAAGTTTAGTCATTGACAAATTTCTTTTTATTTACTTCAGTTACTGTCATGATTATCACTGTTTTTTGTTTAGTAGACTTTGGATTGTAATACCTCTATTTCACGGAAATAATCACTTATTCTAAAAAACATAAATTTGTTCTATATTGTGTATATAATTATTCTTTATGCAGTTATTCATCTCTTGAAGAATATGAAAAAGCAGTTGAGGAATGGACTGCAGTAGTAAAATTAGACGGATCACAAGAAAATAAAAAATCTTTACAAGCTGCTAAATCTGCTCTTTCCGTGTCTCAACGTGATTACTATAAAATACTTGGTTTGAAAAAGAATGCCTCTTCCGATGATATAAAACAAGCGTATAGAAAAAGTGCACTTTTATATCATCCAGGTATGGGATTTTAACTTGCCTAATTCATGTATATTGTTTATTTTATGCTACATACGAGGTATTGTTCTAGACTATTTTACGTGTAATATTGAGCCTATCTACCCTGCTACTCCCACTTTAGTTGATGATGTACATCTTGAACTCGTCCATCACTAATTAATGGTGACGTACTTAAATCTTTATACCACAGCTTAATTCAAACTAGGTAGGTATGCATTTTATTCAAACAGTTTACTTCATCGAGTAATTTATGTGACTTACCTGGGATTCATATATTTCTAATGTTGTAGTTCATAGAAATCAGAATCCTTCAGAGTTACAATCAATTTTAGAACATTCAAGTATTGTTATACATATGTATTTCGAAATCATATTCTGAATTCATGAGAATAATCCTTTTTTGAGATCATATTTTAGGTGGTGTTTTCTAGTTCAATTAAAAACTTTTCTTATAACATTTATAGTCCCTTTTTAGTGGATACAACTCGTAAGATTTTTTTGAATGAAAGCAAGTAATTATTTATTGCCTGTTTTTTTCAAATTTTTCTTGTTTGAAAACCCTGTTGACTTAGTTTTTTTTCTTGCTAAGTTTATCTAATCTGTGCAATTTCTGACCAGATTTTAGTTTTTAAATTGCTTACATTTGGACCGTGTACTCAATAAATTGGCTTAACTGAAATAATGATACTGAATAATTTCAAATATATATTACTAATTTTTACTGACATTTTGTTCAAACTAATTTCACTAAAACAAAGTAAGGCAGCTGACTTATCTTCTATCCTCAATTGACTTCGACGACAATTGTATGGGATCACATTCTTTACATTAGCTGTTTATGAAAATATCAATTGATAGCTAAATATTTGTTTGTCAACAATTTGCCTATATTTAGCGATTTGATGTGTTTTAAAGGATCCTTAAAAAATCGATGAAATAGAATTAAATACCAAGGAGATTTATGCTTAACAGCTTAGGATTTGTCTGTTACAGATAGATTAACAAAATATGAACGCCTATGGAATCTTAACAAACAGCTTCAAGGCTAGTAAATTTGATATCTTTCTAATAAAGGAGTTCTTAAATCTGGAAGATCGATTTGTGCATTTAAAGAATAGACACAATTTACAATCATACATATAAATATCTTTATATTCACACTACATACATCCTCTATGTGGTTTTCTGTAATTTACCGCTTGATCTTAAATTATTATTACACTCAAGATACCTTTAAAAATATCTAGTTAATACTTCATTATATTTTTTGTTTAACTTTCACTAGCAAACAATATATATTTAAAATCCCTGTCTACTGAGATTTAAAATCTATTAACCTTACATGCTGTGAGATTATGGTAACTCATCTATTAACAATTAGTTCTCATCATAGAATAAAAACTAGAAGTATTTCTAACTCAATTAATTTTAATGTAACATTTATACTTTTATTTCGATATTTTATTTTTCCCAGTTAACGGTTATCAATCTGATTTTATCATTAATAATTTACCTTGTTCTATATTGTACTAACTCTATGTAATCTCTGTCTTGTATAATATCAATTCATTAATATATAATAGTTGGATTATTTGCTATTCTCTTAATATATCTTTAACATCACCAGTTAGTTAGTGATTGTTTCAGTTAATCATGTCATAAATTAAAGGTCATATTCTTTTTTTTTCAAAACAAGTGATAAGTTCATTTTTTAACACTTATATCAATGATTCGAATAAACTTAATCATAGTATTCAAGGTGAATGCTTTATAAAGATAAAGTTTATTGTTGTTCGTAGTTTAAAGAACCTTTATTATGCCAAGTAGCTATTCATTTAAGTTGTGCCTTTCCTACGCAACATTTATATGGACCATATGATTAGGTTTCTAGGACAGCTTGGTTAGAAATATATTTTGGACTAGTTCGTCACATGACATCTTCATGACTCAGACCTTCCTGTGTATGTGTCTCCCTTTTAGACTGTTCTATGCAATATTTTGACCTTAGGAATCGTGAACATCCATAACTTACATCGCTACTTTTTCTACCGTTACATGCATACAGCAACATCACTTCGTAAACGATACTAAGGTTTAATAATGTTTATGGTATTAAAACGAATCCAGTAACTCTAATTTTGTTAACTATTCTAATCGCATCTATGGTAGAAATGTCATTGTTGTGATTGACCAATAGATTCGCCTAGTAAGAATTCAGAATTTCCATGTGTGATTATTTTCATTCTCTATGATCATTACGATTGTCTCATTTTCCATTCATTTTATATATGCGTTATTCCATTTTGTCATTTTACATGTAACATTTCTTAATGATAACTGTAGCGATTAAAATTTTCCATTCATATTTATAAAAATCAATTATTACTTATAGATTTAAATGAAAACCCATCATAGTCACAATCATCAAAATTGCATTAGCTGTGTTAGCGGACATTTTACTTATATTTGAAAAGTTACACTTTTCGAACATAACAGTCTGGTGATTAATTTAATGTATTAACCGACACAGCATGAATAAATAATGACTTCATCGACATCCCTTTCTTATCGTATACAATTCTAGATCGTCATACAAGTGCCGATGAAGCTACTGTAAAAGAAAAGGAACGGAAGTTTAAAGAGATTGGAGAAGCCTACAGTATATTATCAGATCCTGTAAAACGTCGTCAGTATGATAATGGTGAACTGTCGGGAGATGATGCTTTTGGTCAAGGTAAATTGAATTTTTCTGTGGTTAATTGTTGAGTCATGTAATCCTACTAATTGCTACATTGTATATCACTTGTCTGTAAGTTACTATTGTCTACTATCGTTTCTTGTTCCAGTAGTAGCTAGGTTAAAACTGACAGTTACAAATGTCTTGTAATTTACAGATGAAAATAATAGCTCTGAAACGGTATTCTTACAACTTATTGTATCCTTCACGGCTTCATTTCGTTTTTATATGCAATTTACAGTCTATAATACATTTCAAAATGAGACCTTTTACGCTTATTTTTACATTTGTCGCTCACCAATGAATTTTTTCAATGAACTAGTTTATCTTCACACCTTATTTCTTAATGTTTGTTCACTTTTAAAATGGAAAGTTTAAAAATATGATTTACTAGGTGTTAGATCTTAGTAAAGTTAATAATAGGATTTTTGGTTGAGATCATGAATCAATTGATGTTAGACCACCAATGGAAACCTGGAAGCACTGGACGGCCGTTTCGTCCTAGTATGGGACTCCTCAGCAGTGCGCATCCACGATCCCGCGAGCGGGATTCGAACCCAGGACCTACTGGCTTCGCGCCTGAGCACTTAACCATTAGACCACTGAGCCGGCATCCAATGGTGTTAGTGTCTAACATCAACCAATCCACGAAATTGCGCGACCAACTTCCATTGTACTGAGGTAGATACCTGTCTCTACCCGACACGGATTAGCTCCACAGGTCACGACTTCTCACTAGAACTCCGAGAATTCCCTCACGAAGCTAGTCACTAGTGAGCACATGTTAATTATCAGTATGGGGGTTGTGGAGATTGTTAAGATTTTGGTTGAGATCATGAATCAATTGATGTTAGACCACCAATGGAAACCTGGAAGCACTGGACGGCCGTTTCGTCCTAGTATGGGACTCCTCAGCAGTGCGCATCCACGATCCCGCGAGCGGGATTCGAACCCAGGACCTACTGGCTTCGCGCCTGAGCACTTAACCATTAGACCACTGAGCCATGACCACTGATTCATGATCTCAACCAAAATCTTAACAATCTCCACAACCCCCATACTGATAATAGGATTTTTATTTGGTAACGCAGTGCTGAATGAACACAGCTTTACACTTTGTTAAACTTCACTTTAAACTAAGTAATCCAACAGACTAAACCATTTTCTGTTACTCCCCCAGTCAATTTCATTTTCTGTATTTAATCAGGATTTGTCTTTTTATTTGTCCTAAAATACACCTTCTGTAAAGTCGTCTAAGTAAACCTGTCTTATTCATAAAGAAGAAAAAAATAGAATGAAGCTTGCCCAAACTAGTCTCAATAAATTACTGAATAATTTGTTTATCCTTTGGGATTCATTTATAAATAACCAACCTTGAAATGATCTTAGTTATCTTGTTCTCAAAATAAAGAAATCTACCATCATATTCCTAATTGTTAATTTTCTAATTTGTATCCATTCTTTTATTATTTTCTTTTTGTCCTTTAAAATAAGTCCGACACTAAGTCATTCTCTCACTTCCAATACAACAATATAATCAATAAGTTTACTTATCATTTGATACATTAAACAAACTATTAGTCTGACCTGTAATATTCTATATCTTGAATCGGAATCACATACTTCTTTTTCTAAAGCCTACATATTAATTTGAGTCGTCAATTTATAAATTACTGCCTCCACGTGGACAGTAAATAGAATTTTTCTATGAATGTTTATAAATAGTCTATCATGATATAAACCATGTCATGTGAATGTGCTCATCCTAGATTATAATAAATGATTCATAAGAAAGTATCTCTTCACATCTTATTCCAAGAATTAATCAATAAACCTAAAGATAAATTGAGTTTATTGTTTTCGATATGACTGTAGAAAACTGGTACTTAATATATGATACGCTGAAATTCGTACAATATGTGCGGAAAAGAAAAAAAACTGATGATAGAAGCAGATGTTCTATACACCCTTCAAAATACAAAGATCTTTTAAATCACAATAGGCTCATCAGTATTACTGATATCTGATGATTAGTTAATGCATGTAACACATAACTTAAATAGGGGGAATACCAAAATAGATTATTTCACAGAATGAATACTGTGTATGATACTGAATAAAGTTCAAAATAAACTAACATAATATAACACTGAAATAAAACGAGTACTAAATAATTGCTCCCAAAAATTTAGTTGCATGTTATAGGCGACTGGAGATAATCAGCTTCATAGTTTACACGCAATCCAATCAATTAAGACCACTTATCACTTTTTCAAGTTTTGTGGTATAGTAGTTGGACAATACAATGTTTCAAGTTTTGTAGATTATTGATTCCACTTTACTAGATCCTATCTATTCATAACTGTAACCATTTTTGAAAATTCTATTTATTTTTAATGTCTTTTTCCAAAGGAAATGTATCTGCTCACAATTTGTTTACTCAAGTCTTTCCTGGATTTGGAACATCTACAGTACATTTTTATTTTGGTTAATATTCTACACATTGGTATATACAATTAGTGCCGGAGTTAGTATACATCAGGTTGTAATTGTAATAAACCTTCCTCTCTGTTTATGTACAAAAATTGGGCGACAAAATATATATTGTTTATTTATCAGATATCTTTGTGGTTAATACTTTGTCTCTGTTAGACACATAGATGTTGATATCAATACTTATATGAGTGTCCATGTGTGTATGAACATTTTTAAATCAATGATTAATATAATGTTGGAAATAATTCACCGGGTATATTATTTAATTCTAAATGTTCTTTGAATTCATACATTATGAATACATATTTAATGTGCCTATACATACATATATATTAGAAGTTTTTTGAGCTAATATTAATGAAATGAATAAAATAGTCATTTTCAATTGTATTGCCAAACTGGTTAGTGTCTGTTTTTTCTCTTAAAAATGATTTTCAATGATAATGTGATTAACTTAATACTGTTAAAATGATTTTATTCATTTCTCTTTCTGTTCTTACTCTTTCATACTTGTTTTTGAAATTAACTCAGTAATGACCAAATAACTTGACATGGTTCAAGAACCTATTTTAAATTTTGATGGTAGGAAAATTAGTGTTTCAAGTTATCAGAACCACCTGATTGTCATGATTTAAAATATCTATCGATGCTATAAGTACATCAGTCATTTTTTTCTTATATATACAGTCAGGTGAATAAAACAAATTTCTGTGACGAAATTTGATTGGATAACTGAATCATTTTTAGTTGATCCATATACAACTTAAAACCGTGGTATATTTGCGTTTATTCAAGTTATCATGCAGTACTAGCACAGTAGAATACAATTATCTAAACCAATACCAGATCAGTAGAAAAGATCAAGTATAAAAGGAAAATGCATAAGAATAGTCTCAGTTTTTTAACTGCAATAATACGCAACGGAACTGATGCATTATTTCATGAATAATTCACATTATAACCCACTGCCGGCTGCAGTGTCATCAAAAATACAGTAAACATTTATGGAATACAAATGACAGTAATTTATTTATATAATTTTTGGGGATGCTAGATTCCCAGGAATCACTTGGTAAACGTCTTATTTTTATAATTTTACTCTGGAAATTTAAACTTCTTGTTTTTGCGCTTAAAGCGCCCACTATTACCTTCGGTTTGTATTTCCCATTCGGAAGGACCCTAAATTTCATTGATTCGTTTCCTCTTTTAGTACGTTATTTTGTGACGTTTCCCAAGGACCTTTTTATACTGTATGTATATGCTTGAGTTGTGTGCTTGTTTGTTCGTGCTTCTGGCTGTTTGTGGAATATACATTCCCCTACAGTTGTCAGGGCTGTTACACATCGGAATAGTTGAGCGTGTCTTGTCGTTGCGTTTCTGATCCTTCGTTTCGTTTCGCTGATTTCAATTGATCTTGTGATCTCTTCAAACATAGCAGATCTATTGTGCTGGTTAACAAGATATTTTAATTTGCTACATTTCCCGATCGGTTCACAATCAGACAAAATAGATTTCAAGTGCTTAGTAATGAATTTCATAGTAGCAAAAATATGAAGTTTTTCCTGGAGGAAGCGAAATTATAGCACATAATTTCTATTGAAATGATGAAATAATTTGCGCAATTGTACAGATGTTGCTTGGTTCCATAACAAAAGTAACGGAAAGACGGTTTAGAACGCTTGTAAATAAGAATATTCGTCAATAATTTGTGTGATCTATGTGAATGCAGTCTAGCCTAGTTAGACGGAAATAGTCTTACCTCGCTTACGTTGAAGTTGCACATTGCACTTAGTACTTATCATGTATTTTACTATCATGGTTGCCAAGTAATTTGACCTTCTACGTAGCTTGAGTAAACACACCCAGTAGGCTACTAAGGGCACTAGTATTAACCCGTAAAAGAAGTAGACGTCGATTGTTCTTCATCTTGACGAGGATCGGTCGATTTCGAAGCTCAGTACCTTGCCTGCTCATTGAATTACTAAGGCTCAATTACAATTCTTGGAACACGAAAAACCTGGCCAACCTGTATATATTCAAGCAACGAGGAATATGAATAATATCGAAAAGTTTAAACGCTTATATTCAAACCTCTTCTTCTGTATAATGAACTTGATATAATTAACTACGCTAATTTTGTGAAATCAGCATATGTGGGAACACTGGAGTTCTCTTAGAAACATGCTTCCTGGATTCTAGCTCTCAAGAATCATTTCACAACATTGTATGGCCTCTTATCAATGACTAATCATTCTCTTTATATATGTGGCTAATAGAAATTTAATCGGAAAGTAGTCTGAACGAACAATTCAAGTTGACATACATTCACTTCGTCATTTACAGAGTATAATCATCATAGTTTAAAAAAATTGACATTTAAAATGCACATTTTGTTGGGTTAACTTACATTTGTTGGAAAGCGATTTCATATATGAACTTCAGAAAGGCAAAAGTCACTTAGTCCACTCAAATTCAGAATCTGTGTTATGAATGATGATACCGAACGAAGGGATTCTCTGTTAGAATGAACTAGCGGAAAAGATATTTTTAACTCTGCTTACGAAGCAAGTAAAAGATAGTTTTAGTGATAAATAGTAGATGTCAGTATCTCAATGAAAAAATCTCCATAAGTTCGATACGCCTTAGATAGTGTCTACATTTAAATGGTCAATTAATGGTAATGCTCTCCTAATTTCAATTTAGAATATAAGAAAACTATAGTGTTGTTGGTTGACAAAATAAAAGTATTCTCAAGTATAAAATATAAGTATCATGAAGCGATTAGATTTATAACCAATATATTAGAATTAACGTTTACTGTGTATATTTTTGATCTAACAATATCAGGTGTTTTCCGATAACCAAGGTACTGAGTTGAATCATTTTACAGATACATTTGAAGCGATCTAAATCATTATCCGTGTGTTTGAAATGCAAGCGTTCGTTAGTGAGGAATCAATAATTAATACAGACGATTACATGAGCGCATAAGAAACATTAATTAGAAAATGACGATTGGTGATTACGGTAAACTGGTATCATATCTTAATAAATACATATTCCATTGACTATGAATAGAACACATTGTTCCGAACAATAACAAATTTAATTACTGATATGGTTTTGTGGGAATTTTCGTGTAACCTGAACACCACATCTCACTAAAAAGTGATTTCATTGTTAACCAGAAAGTAATAAACAGTGGTTTCAATCCAGTGACACAAACATACACTCACGTTTCTATACTCACTGGAACATGGGATGCTCAGAATTCATAGCGAACAATGCACCTGTGAGACGGACAACAGAATATGGATGGCATCAGATGATGATTATGACACATCAAAATCTAGTTGAAGTCGGAAATGTTGACTTTAGGATCTCAACTGTTTGCCTCAACGAGATGGTGGGACTTCACTGTAGACAGTCAGATTTTCTGTGTGGTCATGAGTGAGCACTGATTAAGAATGTCGGATCAGAACAAAGTATCTAGCCAGTCATTCATTTGGTGTCATTGTGTTATAACAACTGTCTTCATATGAAATAAATCCCCTCAAACCAGCTAACCAAAAACTGATTGCCGAACCATCTGTTAGAATGATTTACATGGTTAAGTATGACATACATAATTTCCTTGAACTTTCAGTACTGTGATATCTTTTTCAATTACTGAAGTAAATGTTAGTCCCAAAATATTTACTTGTAATTTTGATTGAGTTATTGACTGATAAAACACTGCAGTGACTGGTGAGAGGTTGGCGAATTGATAGTGTTTTCTACAAAGTCAGGTTTTTAGTTTCGACTACATAGACGACATACGTGGCTCTTGTATTAGAAAGTATGGAGAATGCTTTTTTAGTAACTTCGTGTCTGATGTGATTTCTTCAAATATTTAGTTGGCTAAATGCAACTTGAATTCCAGTGTCTACGAAGACTGCTAGTGACTTAATGATCATACGTAAAATTATTAAACAGTTTTTTATTTTTACGGTGTTGTATTTTCTCGTTTTTAGCATTCAAAACTAAAGTTGACTGGTTAATAGTAACTTCATTCCTGATGGACAATTTAGTGGTTATCTGAACTCAGTAGCTTAGCTGACGTTTGAAGTGAAAGATATTGATTACTGGTCTTAGTGTGAACACGAACTCTAACCCACGTTTATCTATCTGATGAGTCACGAAACACCGATTGTGCTTGACTGTTGTTAGCCACAATCCCAAGATTTGCTGAACCATTTTTCTTCTTCTTTACAAGACATTTCACACCGAACAGGAAAGACTGTTTTTATTGTACCTCATATTGATAATAAGTAGTTCGTTTCATAATTCCCTTGTAGAACAAATATTAAGCTTTACTGGGAGAAAGTGGTGTTTTGGTACATAGTTTCCTTAATGGCGTAATTTCGCAAATATTATTTGATTCGGTAGCAAGAGAATGCTGAAGATGACTTGGAACGCTGTATATATGAGACAAATATTCTTGGTCCACTAAAACCATGGTCAACTGGTATGTTTCAGAAAATACTAGTAAAAATAAATTTATTTGAGAAAATCGAACTTCTTATCCTAACAGCTGTTCAAAGTTTATATCCAACAGTAGATCATTTACAATCAAATTCCGAATTCTTCTTTAGCGTCCACGTCTTGGACTTCGCCTACTGTTTGGCCTCCTCTTGCCTATCAATGAAAGAAAATATTGTTTAGTAGGAATACTAGTAGATTTTTTACTGTGCTCAAACACAAAAGGTGGTAATGTTTTCTTTTACGCTGCTGAGTTAAAAGACACCAAGGATCTCTTAGTTCATATGTGCACTGTGATTTAGATTTTGTCACGTTGATGACTGCTTTAGTTAACTTGCTAACTCTTGTTCACTGATTGTATCTATCCTGATTTAACACACTGGACAAACAGTTTTTAATTAAATTCTTTTTAAAATACAATACGTCACAGTGAACTAACTTTCCCTCTTGTTTATATGCGTAGGACAGTTTCATAGTCAGACAATATCGTTTTTTATAGTTTGGAGAACAGTGCCAAAAATATTAACATCACATATATAGTCGATGTTTGAAAATTTCTGAATAAAATAGGTGGTGAGTTATGTGACAGATTTTTAAAGGTAGATTACATAGAATTAACAAATCTAATAAATTCACACTTATTATTACGTACAAATCAGGTACGAACCCTTACTTCATAACTTCTCATCTCTCAATTGCCGAAAATCTCAGTTCATGTGGTATGATTGTTAAACTTGATATTGTGAGGAAAAGATTTCATTTCCTATCACAGAGTTTGCATCAATAATCTCAGATGAGCTAACCAATAATGATTTCATTGAGATAGAACTGTCTTGGTTCTTTGTAATAATGATATGTTAATCGATTTAAATATTGCGTAAAATATTTGTCTACGTCGTCTGGTAAAAACGTTTACCGTATAATTGTTCATATAACAAATTTATGTTTACCTAGCTATTGTTACAATACACTCTGACGTGTTAATTAATACATAATTAACAAAATACGTGTTAAAGACTAAAATAGTAGGTCGGTATGAAAAAACTAACCGCAACAATAACAACATGTGTCATTACGGCGTGGTGATTGCGATAGCCCTCGATTTGGGTGTGGGGATGCACCCCTACTGGTAGGCGTTCCACTCCGACTAGGATTTCCTGGTTGCTGTCGAATAACTTGGTCTTTCTGTGGCATATTATAAAAGTTAACTTGTATATAAACTTTTATATACTTGGACGTCGAGTGCACGAACTAATTATTCAATCAAATATGTTTCCAACCTATTTATCAAGCTGGGCGATGTACTTTACAAGTATTCATTTATTTGTGAACAAATTTCCATAAAATTGTTAGCTTTTGTCCTTGATAGATTACTTTTAACCTAGTGAAGGATACTTAATGACCAAAACTCTCAGAGTACCAATTGTAAATAAATCCGATCATATGACATCATCATTAGTGCAGGTGAACCATCCAGGAAAACAACTGCCTTATATAGTAACATTGCCTTGATTATTTCAATTCAATAAGCAAATAAATAGGTCAAGAAAAAACCCATAAATAAAGCCGTGCTTTCTCAAATATATCTACTTAGAAAATCTGGATGGAGTGGTGGATTTATGGTTAAAGAATCCGGATTCCAACCATTAGGTGACAGGTTGGAACTCCACTTCACCTACGTCGGTCTGAGATATCGAGTAGTGGTCGAGCTCCATGGCGTCCCGGAAACCCAAACCAGTTAGCAAAATGAATTTAAGAGATATTTCGGTCGAGTAAATGAACTGAAGTCAATCATAAATAGAAATAGGATAAACAAAAGCAGTGATAGACACTACAAGAGAGTTGCACTGA